TGCTCGGCTCTGGGGGAGGGGGCGCGGGGCGTGTCCCTAGCGCCCTCATTGGTTCGCAGCAGGGCTGTCCCACCCACGGACTCGGCAGGATCCCTCCCAGAAGCGCGTCAGCGGGTTATTGTTACAACCCTGGGTTTCCCCGGGCAACGAGGATGGGGCGGGACTCAGAGCACTTGACCCCGCCTTCTACTCGCGAAGGGAATGCCCAGCCCCTGACTCTGGATCCCTGGCATTTCCAAGTCTTAGAATCCTGATGGGGCGGATGGGGAGCTCTCCTTTGTGCCCTAGACTGGGCTGGGGAAAGAATACCTGGGTTCTGGGCCAGGTTTTGCCACATTTCTAGCTTCTCCACCTGCAACGAGGTCTTCATCGGCTCTTAGGGTACCTGTGGGCATAGTTTTAGAGCCTCGATTCTCAAAGTTCAAAGTGTAGCGGAATCCACCTGAAGAGCTTGTGAAAACATGTTGCTGGACCTCACAGGGTAAGCCTGTGTTGGGGCTGGAGACTTTGCATTTCTAACAAGTTCCCAGGTGGTGCACGGAGGACTACACTCTGCAAACCACTGGTTTAAACTCTGTGGGATGCTCTTGCAAGAGCTGTTGGAAGAAACACTTGCCCCAAAATTCATCCTATATGGGGAGAAGCTTCTCATTCACTTAACAGATTGATCGAACACCTTTGATGCTCCAGGCACTGTTCAGGCCACTATGGCAAGAGCAGCAGCAGAGACAGATGGGGTTCCTAGCATAGGCTAGGGGAAGAGTCAGATGTTTATCAGATCCTCACATGGCCTCAGAAGCCAGGCTGGCTGAGAAGTTGGGCAGCCCATGACCTCATCCCACAAGGTTCTGGGCTAGGTCTCCGGTCACTATACCACCTGCCTGCCTTTGCTCAGAGTATGCCCTCTGCCTAGGACACCCTTTCGCCTCTACAGGACATGGTCAGAGATTCCCCCGTTCTTCAGAGCTCAGCTCAAATGTCACCTCATCCCTGACGCCTTCTCTAACCCCAACTCCCAACACTTGTCTCTGTTTCTTGCTTGCCCACAGTACTTCCTGTTCTTCCAGCCATGCCTTATGTCCCTTTAGGACAATATTTCTTTTTTGCCCATCAGGAAACTGAGGCCCAGAGTGGGGAGGCAACTTGCCCAGATGGAATGGGCAGGGCTAGAATCCCAAGCCATCAGTCATTACCAGACTCCTAGAGAAGCTGTAGACGGCAACTGGCAAGAGTTCTCTGGGATGTGAGAGGCTGGGCCCAGGCCATGGGAGAGAGCCTCTGTCAGAAATTCCTTCCCTCCAACTGCAGTTCCAAGGAGTAGGGCTAGGGTATGGGTGGGGGTGGGGCAAAGGGGGCCCCTCCTCACCCCCTGGGGTGGAAGCAGGCCCAGCTTGCAAATGCCTGGCATGGCATCTTCTTGAGTCACATCCCCATAGGCAAGGGTGGGCATGGGAACATTCAGTTTTCCCCCTACCCCTCTGCATAATGTGCATGCTCTCCAGGTGGTTTTGGTTAGAGTCACAAGAGCTCTGAAATCACTGCTGTACCCCCTTCCACAGTACTCATATGCCCTCCCTGCCTGGGGAGCTCACCCTGGGAGCTGCCCTCTCTGGTACTCTGGAGGCCAGGCAGTCCTCTTGTCAGTCTTCAGCCCTGGCCCAGCCTGCTCTGTGAGATGGAGGCCTGCTGGGGGCCATACCAGAGCTGGGAGGATCCTTAGCTGGGGGCCCTGGCACAGGCTGCCATTGCGGGGCTGGAAAGCCAGATTGGCAGGGACACCCTGACTCAGGCTGACTCAGACTCTGCCTAGGCCCTTGCCCCACCCAGTGTCCACAGCTGCTGCCTGACTCTCCTCTGGGACCCACATCTGGCACACTCAGCCCCCCTCCACGTACACACCCACCATGCCACACACTGACACTCATTCTTCTTTACTCACAACTTGGCCCCTGCTCACAATTCATTATGAGGCAGTATAACAGTGATTAGGAGTGTGGGCAAGTTACTTAACTGCTCAAAGCCACTATTTCCTAATCTATAAACGAGTGTCATCATAGCACTGACTTCATAGGATATTTGAAGAATTCAATAAGATCATGAATATCGGCACCAGGCTCAGGGTAAGTGTTCAATAAAAGCTTGCCGTTTTTATCACTGTTGGTGTTGCTCCTGCATATATATCTTCCCTGTGTACTTGTCCCAACTCACACTGCCCCATCTGCTCTCACCACGCACACACTTGTTGCCCACTCACACACCTGGGCTCACATGCACACTTGCATATGTCCCTTCCACTTGCATCCCAATTGCACAGGCCGGAATCTTCTATCGTTCTTGGCCCCAGGTCTCTCTCTCAAATTGCCTTCTCCTCCCTCTCAAACAAGCCCCCACTTGCTTACCCTTGCATTCCTCCCCTTTCACACACACATTTGCTTCTGCTCACACTTTCCCAGGCTTAAACATGCTCGAATTCCAATACATGCACACTCTCTCGCTCACACACAGACATGTGCTTTACCCACTCAGCTCCAACTTGGATCACAAAACTGGTACACGTACACCCAAACAACCCCAGTGCATGCCTCAGTACCTCAACCGGTCCATCCCCTCCCAGTCAGGAGCACACAACACACAGCTCTCGAACAGTACTGCTGTTGGCAGACACCCCTCCCTGGGCCACAGTGACACTCCCCTCACCCTCACAGGACTGTCTCCTCCCCTGCTGCTTCCCCTCCTCCAGTCTCAGTTCCACAGCCTCTCCCAGCTCTCAGAATAGCCCCTGCCATTGCGGCCACTGCCACCTCCACTGCTGCCACTGCTGAGCTGTCAGGGCCCGCCAGAGCCCGCTTCCCCAGCGCTCGGTGCCAGCTGTCCCGGCTCACTCGGGGCAAGTGAGGACAGGAGGACGGGCTTTTCTGAGGTCTGATGCACATAGCTGCCCAGCACCCCTTTCCAGAGCCCACCTGGAAGACAGTCAGCTCTCAGAGGAGGCCACTGCCACTTGCTCAGCATTTTTCCAGTCCCCAAAGGTCTTTGCCTCTGTTCCCAGATCCTCATACCACCCAGTGAAGGCCGAGACAGCTGATGGCTCAGAGCACCCAAGGTCTGGGGAGGGAGAAGTCTGCTCAAGAAGCACTGTGGGTTGGGAGCAGAGGCAGACCACGGCCGGCCTTTCCTAGCCCCTTATGGGGGGCTCCAGAGGACCCTCCCCGAAACCACACAGTTATCAAGAACCACCCCCCAGCCCCCACCTGTCTGTGCGCAGCAGAGCCGAGCCTGGTTGACATTTGATATCACAGTTGTCAGGAAAAAAGAACGGCACAGGAGTGATGTCTGGGGATGCCTCTGCAAGGGGAGGGGCTGGTGTCCAGACAGGCCTCCAGGGTGGAGAGGGGGAGCGTCTGCAGGAGCCAGAGGGGACATCAGGACAGCTGGGAGAGCCTCCAGGGCAGGCTCAGGCCTGGCCCTGGGACAGAGGCAGGGAGTGGGTGGGGCTGCGCTGACGCTGTGTAGCTGAGGGGACAGTCCAGCAGGAGAGAGCTCCTGACGAGACCCGAGGCTCCTTCGCTGACTCCGCAGTCCATGCCTGGGGCAGAGTTTTCTGCTGGCTTTGGGAAGCAGCTTTCACTGGCAACTGCCGGGTGCCCAAGAACACGTGGCACAGGCCAAAAGGACCTTGTGTCCTCCTGGGCCATGGGGGCATGGGTGGGGGTGGAACGACGACTTTACCACCAGAGAGTGGTAAAGAATTAGTGCCGACGAGAGCTGTTGGTAACGGCCAAGCCCGTTCCACATGCCATCCGACTCAATCCCAATTCTTCTCCCCGTTAGCTTTACTGAGTACTTACTGTGTCAGCCCCTGCAGAGCACCTGACAAGCATTAGCCAGAAGAATCTGGCTCCTTGCCAGCATGAACTTTGCCCATCTTGTTCACTGCTGTGTCCCCGGGACCTAGAGCAGGAGCTGGCACAGAGACCTTTGACAAATATTTGTTAAATGACAGAATGAAGTCATTTCAGTCTCACGACCACAAGAAAGGCGGATACTATTATTCCCGTTTTCTGGGTGAGGAAAGTGAGGCTCAAAGGAGGAAAGTGTAGCCTCCTACCTCCGTGGGACTCAAACTGGACTCTGGGTTTGCTTCTCACACAGCACCTAGTGGCTGAGGGAAATGAGCTTAGGGCCAAATCACTTCCCTTCTCTGAGCCTCACTTTTCTCATCTGTGAAATGGGAATGGCCATGCTTCCCTGTGGAGAAGGATGAAGATCACAA